GGTTCGTGGCCCCTATCTGGTTTATGCACTGCAAGCCCTCGAAATCTGTCAGAAAACTATATGGAATGTAAAGGCAAGCCGGGAAGAAAACCTTGATTGCTCCATGCTTACGCCTGGCAAACCAGGGGGTGCACCTCCACACGCCTTCACGATTGCATTCTGTCACACACACACACACTGTCAGAAGCGCCTGACGAAGCCTAGGTCCTAGGTCAGCAGGAGAGCACGCAGCCCGAAATATTCTGGGCGAGCATCTTCAAGATGCGCTTCGCCACAAGAAATTCGTTTTCCTTAGAGTAGCAGGACTCGTTCCGGACAGTCAGGCACGAACATGCAAGGTTGTAGCAGATAGATAGCAGCAGTAGCAGGCAGTCAGCACAAGACATGACACCACATGTCGCTTTCCCAAGACTCTGGATGTCTCTGATACTAGTACAGCGGAGCTACAAGGCAGAGTCTTCTATTGCGGGAAGCTGCGTCTGGCCGCCGTGTCGTGCATGGCAGCGAGAGGTGCTCATAGGCGCAGTCGCCGGAGCCAAGCTGCAAGGCGAGGCACTCCGAAGCGCTTGAACCAGAATACCCCCCACTCCCGTCACTAGCACCGCAGCCTGCTTGTACTGACACAGCATTTCGCAACGCATGGGATCGTGGATGCAGAGGTTCACCACCCTGGGATGACTGCGTGTCGTAGTCTAGGGTGATCCGGGGAAGCTGGCCAGCACAAAATGCTTGCACTCTGCTAGCTGCTAGCATGCTTCACGGCTTTACGCCCGCATCTGCAACCCAAGATGCTCAGAGACAACCACAGGGACTCCATTCCTGAGGGCCAGAGTCCCTGTGAACAGACCAGCTTGCAAGGCGACACTGCCATGCTTCGGCTTCGACCATGAGAAAGAAGGACAGAATCAAACGGAGCTGGATGCGCGGAAACCAATGCGCATGTTTGCCTCTTGCTTACTAGAGCGGTGGCTTTTGAATTCGAACAATGTCTCTCACTGTGGGCGCTGGCCCACCTAGCATGATCCTGCCATCCCAGTGTCTTGTCCGTGCCCACTTGAACCTCGCCCTTGACGAGCTCGTCGGACAACTGTTTTAGCCTAGGCAGAGTCAGCAACAAGGTTGGTTTGTTGGCGACAAAGTGGGAGCAAAGAAAACGCCTCAGCATGAACAAGAAGCAGGGCCGCAGCACAGCAGTTCCAACATCAAGCCGGGATGCGTCTTAGCGCCCTGGCGACCATACTGGCTCACCTCAAAGTGCCAAGACCCAACTTCACACTTTACAGCTTGACTGCTTGCGGTAGCCTGTGGTTTTATTGCAACCCATACAGTATCTCTGTCAGAAAGCCCAAGAGAGGCCCTGGGCAGGACGGGCCGGGCGAGGACATCTCGGCTCCCAACATCAACCTTCAGCTCTGTGAGATAGGCTGTGAGCTCCTCCTCCTTCAACCCAATCGGCGCCTTGAGAAGAGGGCGGTGCGAACACTGTGCGAACTGCAGCCCTCCGGCCTGGACCAGAGAAGAGCTTACTGAACTCTCCACATCCACCTTGACGTAAGCAGCCTCGGCTGCCAGAGGATCAGTTGTCGGTTTATCAGGCCTCTTGAATGGCAATGCGGGAGGTTGAATTCGCAACATCTACAATCTACAAGTTCCTGGTGAACTCCGGCTGATTGCAGCCTTGGCGCGTGGTGCAGCTCCAAAGCGTCGCAAAACTTATAACACCCACTGATGATTGAGGTGCCGATGCTTTACAGCAGGTGGACTCTATCCACACCTACGAAACAAGCGTAGACGAGCGTACAAAGTGCCCTGCTGGACTGCAAAAGAACGTACTAGAGTGCTATAGAACTTAGCGACAAGGCACAGCAGCCCTGCAAATTCCGCCAATCGCACCTTTCAATATCAGTGCATACCAAGCAGCAACAGCTTCCTCCTCCGTCATCCACTGCAGCAGCCTCTCACTCCCGCCATTGGTTTACGCCGATGGACCGATGGATTTGGGAGTTTGGGGGTGGTTTTTCTACGGCAGGGACTGCTCTTTTCTAATTTAATTTGGTGGCGTGGAGTCTGGGGCTTCATTCAGCGTTCGGGATGCTTCGAAAACCATTCCTTTGCTGAATCAGTTCGTCACAGTTCGTCGGCTGTGCTGTGCAGCCACAGCTGCCGAGGCGGGTAAGCGTAGCGGGTAAATACCACCTGCGCAGCCTGCGTACACACACACACACACACTTTGGCTCGGCACGATCTGATGCAATGAACAACTGACAGGACAAGACACGACAAAGACGGACTGCAGTAATCGTAGAAATTCACTGAGGCCAATGA